AATGTTTAACTAAGCGTTACATCTCTCACACTTCGCGCCTGCTTCTAGGAGCTGAAGACAATTCGTTTCGATTTTCAATTGATTCATGAACCACTAGTGAATTTGTTAATTATTTTCAAAGATGAGGAAGCGAGACTTAGCGATTTTGATGCTCTCCGCTTTCGCCATTTTCTTCTCTCTTCAGGTACATACGATTTGTTTGTGTATTTTTTACTGATAGCGTGGTTGTGTAATGCTAATCGATGAAATACAGCACGATGGTGAATTTTCATTGAAAGAGGCGTACCAGTTAACTTTTGTTTGTCTGTTTTTAATGTTACTGTTGTTAATTGGGCGATTTTGATTTTTCTACACGTGGTTGATTAACGCTAAATGGTGAAATTTAGCACGAGGGTGATTTTTCATTCAAAGAGGCGTGGTTCCATCTCTCTGATGAGTATCCGATCAAGTACGAGGCCGAGCGTCTCCCGCCACCAATCGTGGCCGATCTAAACGGCGATGGGAAGAAGGAGGTTCTCGTGGCCACCCACGATGCCAAAATTCAGGTACCTTTAATTATTATTACTAATAGAAACTAGAAGGCCAGTGTAATTTTTGATTGTTTGCTTTTATTTGTTTTTGGTTTGTTATTAATTTTATTTATTTGATTCTCTTATTCTTCAAGACGGAATCTGTTAAAAACAAAATTCACGAGCATTTAGCAGAGTGTTGAAATCTTTGCATTTGCTTTTTATGTTTGGAATTAAAGCTGTTGGTTTTTATTTTTAAAATCAAATTAGTTTTTACTCTTCCATGTTCTATATGGTTGGGAACATTATTAGCAGCAGTTTTGTGGTGTCCTAATCCTAAACAATCTTTTACATTTACCCTCTTGCATATCACGAATAAAAATATCTGAATCCAATTTAAGATTTCTGAGGAATAACTGATCTTGAGAGCCTTTCTGAAGTTTATATTGTGAATTACTAATGAAATTGCGATAGAAGATATCTACCTTATCATTTTGGGGCTTGTTCAATCATGCTTGATTCTTGGTAAATGATACTATTAAGTGCAATATTATTGTTGCAGCCTGTAGTTATTCTCTGTTGATTTTCCTGCTGTTCCACCGGGATATTTTACTACAAATATCAATTCTCTTCCTTTTCAAATATTCTGAACATATATTCATATTATGCGATTAGGTTTTGGAGCCTCATTCAAGGCGTGTGGACGAAAGTTTCAGTGAAACACGTGTGCTGGCAGAGGTGTCACTCTTGCCAGACAAACTCCGTATAGCCACAGGGAGACGTGCTGTTGCAATGGCTACTGGAGTTACTGACCGTAATTACAATAAAAGGGAACCACGAAAGCAGGTGCTAGTAGTTGTTACATCAGGCTGGTCTGTGATGTGTTTTGATCACAACCTTAAGAAGCTGTGGGATGTGAATTTGCAGGTTTGTATAAGTTTCATAACTTGGTTCATACTCATGGAGTCATGATTATAACATCTGGAAATTTATCTTCACTTCTGACATAAACTTTCAGCGAGTCATCTCTTGTTTACTCATCCATTTGCTATTTGACAGAAAGATTTTCCCCATAATGCTCATCACCAGGAGATAGCCATCTCAATCAGCAATTATACATTAAGGCATGGAGATTCTGGCTTGGTTATCGTTGGCGGGAGAATGGAGATGCAGCCTCACGTATGTGACTCATCTTTCCTATGATCTTTATCCAGCAGCAAAATTTTATTTTTATGGGATTTTCCATTCAAGTTGTTTCCATGCAATAGATAATAATAATAATAATAATAATAATAATAATAATAATAATAATAATTGCTTTATGATGCCTTTAGTAGATGTCTCGATCCTTCAAGTTTCATAAAATGATGACAACATAAATGTATGTGGATGACTAAACAAAATGGAATTTTTCTATTATTTTTCCTTAGAATTAAAAATATGTTTGCAGATATACAGTGTCGTGCACTAACAAATTTCTGAATCTTTCTGCTGTCCCAGTTTTAGAAAGATTTCAATGTCCAGTTCCTAGTCAAAACTTAAAATGAAAAAGGACATGGGATGTGCAAAGGCTTTTATATTCCAACTCTACCTCTTGCCAAAGGCTTACTAGATTTTATTTCCCTTCATTTTTTATTTTCCATTTATCTCACGTCTTCTTGAAACCTGTTCAGAATTTCCTAGTGAGTTGAGGAGCTAATAGAATACTTGGAATTGCATTCCTTAGTTGTTTCAAAGTGCGTTCTCTATATTGTCAGTTGCAATTAGGCATTAGCAATCACATGGTACTCTTACTCTTTAGTCTGACCAAGTTTCTTCTTCAAGAGATCTCCTTGGATGGTTGGGGGGCTTTGCGACTGAGTACAATTGATGTAAATCAAGAAATTTGGTTTTTTGAAATCTGCAACTATATCATTGCTTTCTCTGTTTGAATTCCCTGGAGAGATTGGAAACTGCCATATGTTGAGACTGAATGAACTGTACTGAAATCATGCTTTTTTGTACATTTCTCACTGAAATGATTTTTATATGGTATAATTTATATTCTGGTGATGCCATGATGCACGTGACTTTAGAATCTTTTGTTAGTTTGATTTTTTTCATTTGAAATTAGTTTCATCACGAGTAGCTTGCTGAATTCTCATACTTTAGTTGTTTTGTGTAGAGATGCTATGTTTAAAAGATATGTTTCTTTAGATATATGCGTTAATCTCTAGAGAATGCTCTAAAAGAGTTATTTAACATTTGCAGATTCACGTGGATCCTTTTGAGGAGATTGAGATGGGAGAGAAAAATGCTGAGGAGCATAGAAGAAGTGCTAGTGAGAAGGATGTAAGAATTCATACTACTGTTGATATCAGCATTTGTAGGCTTTAGTAATTTTTTCTTGAAATTTTCTTGCCTCTGTAACTGTTATTACCGTATCTATTTGAGGTCTTCCTTCTGCACTCTTCAAATTTAGTCATTTATGGATCTTAGCCCCTCTCATAGTCCTACACTTCTTTAGTTTTGTTATTTTCTTATCTTTTCTTTCACGTTGATGTTATTTGTTCCAGCTCTTTTATGGGAATGATGGGCCACAAATTGAAAAGAGATCCTGGTCATTTTTTACATTTTGCAAAGTGGGTTGCTAGTTACAAAGCCAACAAAAATCCATATCAAGTCCTGCCATTGTTCCTACTTTTTATTATGTCCTTATCCACTAAGATAATTGGTTGTCAATGGGGGCACAAATTAAGAAGAGATCTTTATCCTTGTTTACATGCTAACATCGAGGTTATATCATGCACCTTTCAAAAAAAAAAAAAAAAAAAGGTTATATCATGCCATTGATCCTACTTTATATTCTATCCTTGTTCAATAAGATAATTGGACATCCACGTTGTCTCAGATTCAGACGTGTAAAGAAAAGAATATGGGTTCTTTTGCATATTGACAAAAATGTATCATTAATGTATGCATGCATGTATGTTTTCACGTGGACTACTAGCATTTGATTTCGGTTGTAAGTGGGATAATAAGTTCAGTGTTAATGAGAGCAACAATCGCTCTTTTATGGATGTGGAAAACATGATTCCATGATTTAAGCTTTAGTTTGTCATTTTTTTGAGATTTGTGGTGAAGCCCATTACTTAATTATACCAGTTTATAATTTTCAGTTCTATGGTTTATCTGCCACGAGTTTGATATATTGAGGATAGTCAAAAGGCATTTGAGAAAATTTTACAACTTCCCTAGGTTCTGTTTCGTGTATGTATATTTTTGAATCAGTTCTGGATCATTTTCGTTACATCCCCGTTTGTCATGTAGACACCCACACTAAAAAAGGGAAATGGTAGATACTAATAAATATACATATGTTTTCATCTGCCATGAAATTTATGAACATAGATAATATTGATGATCTTTTATGTCTATACTACATCTCTATATTCTTCCAAAAATTTTGTGGTGGATATACTGTGTGAAATTATGATTTTTCTTATCTAAAAGCATTTTTGCTTTGTCACACGCCATTAGTTGATCTTTATAGAAATATCCATGGTCTTATTCTGTAAATCCTTTAGGTGCTAAGGATATTAATTACTCCAGCAGAAAAAAATGGATGTTGAGATAGGATTGCCATATTTCATTGAGACCATTGTATCTGGGAAATATTTGTCTAATGTTACTTTTTTGTGGTCAAAATGCTTGTTGTTTATTGGAATTCTCATGTGCTTATGGCACTTTACACGCACACACAGAGAGAGAGAGAGAGAGAGAGAGAGAGAGAGCAAATAGATATTGCACAACATCTTTATCATTTTGCAGCGGAAAACTTACAATTGATTTTCATATATCTTCAAGGTGTCAGAAAATGCAGAAACTGTAGATTTACGCCATTTTGCCTTTTATGCATTTGCGGGTCGAAGTGGCGAACTTCGCTGGAGCAGAAAGAATGAGGTTATATTCTCTTTTAAGATTTCCTCTCTCCTATTGATATAATTCTCCACGTCCAAACGATGGCCAAGATGGCATTTTATTTCATTTTAAGCTTCAAAGAAAGATCAACTTTGCATAGTTGAGAGCCTCTATCCTTGCTCTTAACTTCTATTTTTTACTTACTGTTACAAAATAAAATCACTTTATCTGTTGCTTGAAAACATTTTTTTATATGAACTGTTCTGGGAAATGCTGTTTAGCTTAGTTTCTGAATGTATACCTTCCTTTAGATGTTTTCATTTTCCATTTTATGTGCCATAAAATATATATTTTTCTTATGATGGTAGTTGCTATATTTTCTCTGGATGGAAATCTAGGTAGACACTTGATTACTATGTTTAATTGTTTAATCTAAGATGTTGTTTTGACACATAAGCAAACTTTTATTTTCTTTTCTGATGTGCACATCTTTTCACTTGCTGATTTTAACCCTATGATCTTGCAGAATATTGAAGTTCAGTCATCGGAGGCATCTCAATTGATTCCTCAACACAATTACAAGCTTGATGTTCATGCACTAAACAGCCGTCATCCTGGAGAGGTATGCTGCAAAGCTGTTAAATAAGATATTGTTATTGGCAATGGATAAAATTTTCAATTTAAATAATTCTTTGGGAAAACATATTTTGATTTCATACAATCTAATGCCTTAATAAAGATTGGTTTGCATGTATATGCTGATGAAGAGATTGCGACCTAAGATGTACACAGAAACTAACTTTTTCAAGTAGTAAATATATCAAATTTGTGGTTGGGATAAATTTATTGTACCTGACTTATCTGCCTGAAAAGTCCACTTATGTATAGAAAAGCAAATTGAATCTTGGGTCATAAGTTCTTAATGCAGAGATTGTCTGTTAAAAATTGGAATTGACATTTGATGGGATTTAGGTTCCTAGGATTGAATTCATCAAACATAGGGTTTTGATGTTGCTACGAACCCACGTAGCAATTGTAGTTAGAAAACCCACGACAAATTATATCAAGCCCAAGAAAGCCAAGAATCAATGTTGAAAGAAAGTTCGACCCAATAAATTATTGAACTAAAGAACCAAGACAATTGCAACAATATCTTGACCTCGTGATCACAAAATTTATGAACCTTACTTGAATTGTTGAACGCGACAAGAATTTAATTCTTGATAGGTTCGGAATTAATTTGATGAAGAATGAGAAGAAAACAATATGGCTTGCAATAATATCCCTTAAATTATGTGTTTTACAATGTATGAAATGAGTTTTGTTTATATGGAATTCATAAAACCTAGTTAAAAACGTAATCACACCTAAAATATATCAAATAGATATCATAGAAGAGTTTTAACTAAAATAGAAGTCTAAACAAAATTTGGAAAAACAAACTGTCCAGAAATTATGCTATGCGGTCGCATAGACCACTTCAACTGCCCTCAATTTGGTTCGGTATGGATGCATGCAGCTGCATGCATAGGTATGCTATGCGGCCGCATAGTTTTGCTCTTCAGCTCTTCGCATGTTGTTTGCACCGAGTTGATCCATCTGTTTCTTCTTCCAAACCTAACATGAAAATTGTTCTTTTGCTTGTTGTGATCGATGTTTCGTCCACTATAGTTTGAACAAGCAATCTTATAGCTTTCTTGACCTTCTTTGCCTGTGATCTCGTCATTGGTTCTTCCTCCACGATCAACAAATTCTTATTCTCGCTAGCTCGTACCATGATTCTCATCAGATTTTGTTTCTTTCTATTGAACCACTTAAAGCTTAAGCTATTGAGCGACACATTTATTTATTTAAATTAGTCTTCAACAAAGCCCATCACATGTAGATCAAATTCATCATTTCACACTTGCACAATTTTCCATAAATGGATGCCAAGAATTTTTATGACTTTTTTCTGCTCTAATATCATGTTGGACCCCTTTATTTAAAAATTAAGCAATTAAATAGGGGACATGGTTAATATAAGCTTAAAACTAACTTATAATTACCTCTTAGTAAATTTCTGTTTCCAAGCATCCTTGGATAATTTAGTTTCTCCTACAATTAAGAAGAGTTATTATTTTGAGTAGAAGTTACTTTTAAACTAAGTAATTTACTTAATCTCAACTTTGACTAATTATTTTAAAACCTGTATGCTTATAAGATTTTGGAAGCTTATCAAGCATGAACAAAGATAGAACAATTCAGCCTTCCAAGTATTGAGAAAAGTAATGCACAATGGAAGAATAATTCAGCCTTCCAAGTATTGGGAAAATCTCTTTTCACAATCTTGATTTTAGTGCTTGACAAACTATAGTGTTACATAGAATGCCCTTTCTGGTCATAATATGTAACGATGAAGGCGAAGTTCTTACAGAAGAACACGTCCTAAAGAGTGATTGTTTTGGTATTTAGGTTCGATTATTAATCAGAAGACTGTGAGAAGTGCATAAACGATTAGAGATGGTTACATGAAATGGGGAAGTATAATAGGAAATCTATGCTATTGGAATAAGTTCTATAGAATGGTTGTTAGACCACATGTTTATCGTAATGGGCATTGGATATTTAAGTACAAAATATCTATGAGATTAAAGTAACTTAACTTAGGATGTTAAGACAAATGTATGACCATACAAGGATGGAACTAATTGATGATGGATTAAGTGAAGGATGCCTTAAGTGGTTGGGATATGTCTTGTATAGACCTAAGAAGTTTCATTCCCTAGAACAACTTAATCCTTGTAGAATTAGTTAGAATAAGGAGAGCTACACCACAATTAAACACGAGTCAATGTGGTTGAAAAATATTTGATTTTGTTGGACATTTTGGTAGATGTAGCGATTAATTGAATGTAGTGGTGAAGAAGGATTCATTAAGTGAATTCCAAATTTATGGGGAATAAGTTATTTTTTTTCAATTTCACACTTACCCCCACCCCAAACCCCAATGTGGCTCGAACCTAGGCCAATGACCTGGTCAGGCTTCATTCTTACCATTTGAGCTAGGTCGTGGCCTCGACTTAGTTTGTTATTGTTGCATTTTACAAGATATTGAATTACTATGATGAGAGTTAATGTAATCTTCCATATAAAAGGGATACAGTTGTAGTTTGACGCTAATATCATGCGACATGCAACTAGAAGTCACTTGATACTCCATATTTGCACTTTTTATTGAAGTGCTCCCTTTTGGGCCATCGTCATTCATTCTATTTGTTTGAAGGGATCCATTTGAATGATGCCTTCAATTTAATATAACAATACTTTAAATATATTTTCAATGCCAATCTTTTAGGAAATTTTGTGTATAGTTATTTCTGGAAAAAAAATCTGTTCTCTTGATTCTTTTTTACGAATGTCTCTGAAATCTCCTCAAATCACTCCTTTACATTCTAAATAGGGATTCTGTCTAAAAGATTTCTGCTATTGCTTTAATAAAGTAATTTTTTTTATCCCTGGTGGCATTTTTCATGAGTGAGGTAACTCAAATGTTTTGAACCATAGTTTGAATGCAGGGAATTTAGAGAATCCATCCTTGGAGTCTTGCCGCACCATTGGGTAAGTTTTGGTCAATAAACCAAGGTATCAAATAGTATATAGTTGAAGCCTGGCAATGAACCTGATTCATGGTTTGATCATGTCTTCATCAGGATCTCCGGGAAGACACTTTGCTAAGGTTAGCACACTTCAGGCGGCACAAAAGGAAAACGCTGAAGAAAACACCTGGCAAGACCACCACCAACTACCCTTTCCACAAGCCCGAGGAAAAGCATTCTCCCGGCAAGGATGTAACAAAAAAAGTTTCAAATGTGATTGAGAAGGCAGTTAATATAGCTAAATCAGCAAAGACCAAGAAGGTGAGATTTCCAATATATGTCTTAGTAGTTGGTTTATAAAACTTGAACATAATGTGTCCGGCCCTAGGAAAAGGTAATTGGGATTTCGCTCAGTATTACAATCTTTAGTTTTATTTTGTGCCGTTGCATGAATGATGCTGATACTCTCCGATTCAGAAACTGTTTTCCCTTGGTGAATTTATTCGCAAGTAAGGAACTTCCTGAGGAATCAAAGTCCTGTTAATATTGAAAGTCAATTGTGGAGTTTGAAGTGTCTTTCTTTAAACACGAGAAAAATATTCAAATTGGTTCTGATCCCGAAATGTTAGATATTAATTGGTCAAATGTGCAATCTGATATTTCAGATTCTCGGGAATTGGAACTGTAAATTATTCTTGCTTTTTCATTATCAATTAACAGTTTAGATAGATACTTGTTGCAACCTTGTGAATCACCTTTCCTTTTATATGCAGCATTCGGCTTATATACCCACCATCACAAATTACACTAAGCTCTGGTGGATACCCAATGTTATTGTTGCTCATCAAAAGGAAGGAATTGAGGCTGTTCATTTAGCATCTGGCCGCACCCTATGTAAGGTGAATATTGGAGCTGCAAAGCATACAGTACTTCAGTTTGCTTCATATAATGCCTCTTTCAAATTATGGATGAAATCACATTTTCTTTTGAGGATTCTTTCCTAGGTTTTAATTCGAATTTTGATGTTATTTGAAGATTACCACGTCGTCGGTCATAATTTTTCCTTCCCCCTTTGGAATCAAAGCTCAAGTTTTCTTGGTGAATATCTAATACGGTTAATTCTTTGACATTATTGTCTAAGGCATACAGCTTCTGTCTGAAGGAAATCCCGACTTCCTGTAATGCAGACATTTAGGACAACCTACTAATGGCACTATATTTTGTTTCAAGGATTGGTCTATGTAGGTTTATCATGTTTTGAACGACAAATATCTTGAGTAAAGTTTGGATCATTCTTTAAAATGTGTGCCCCTAAACTGAAGTATCTTTTGCAAGTTATGTGATTGATCTAAGTTTTTAGTACTATCCCGTATATTTCAGAACAAACTAATGCATACTTATCAATCAGCTTCATCTTCAAGAAGGTGGCCTTCATGCTGATATCAACGGAGATGGTGTCTTAGATCATGTCCAGGTGAACTTTTTAATCCCCATCTTAAATTTTGTATACGCCTCTATATCCAAGTCTCTGCAGCTTCTTATATTAGTGCTCTTCATTTAAGTCCATATCATTTTTATTTTTATTTGTTTTCAATTAAAAGGTCATGCCCTTTGTTTAGAGCTATATCCAAGTCTGCAGCTTCTTATATTAGTGCTCTTCATTTAAGTCCATATCATTTTTATTTTTATTTGTTTTCAATTAAAAGGTTATGCCCTTTGTTTAGAGCTATCTTTATAATTTCAATTACAGATAGATAACTTACATTTTGCCAAATTCAATATATTATGGGAGTTTAAGCTCCTATAGAGGTTCTTAAGATTTTATCATGCAATCGTATAACAGTTTTCTTTGAACTCAAAATCCAAATTTGGCTTTGCACAAATTTTCTCATGGTGAAGTTGAAATCAATATACTCTATGCTTTTCCTGTTTTCTCCTTTGAATGTTTTAGACTTTTAGTTCAAACTCACATGAGTCGGTGCATCAGCATTTATAATTATTAGGAACCAATCTCTACCTCTATATTTTACTGCTTAATAAAATCTTCTACTGATGAAAATGGAAAATCGGGCGAGTAACAGTTATTATAGTTTATGAATGCCTTATTATTATTATTATTATTTCCCTTTTGAACCTAGAACATTTAGCTGCAACAACGAAATAATGCTCATGCGACTTTTGGCATTCTGTGACCCTGATAGATTAGAACAAGAACATGATATAAAAGGTAAAAGATTCAATAAACATGAGTGAAAACCATTGATATACTTAGAACTCATGTTTGGTGAATTCAAGTTCTTCTAGGCTCTAGCTACAACGTAATGCACATACTATTGCCCTTAAACCTGGCAAAACTTCATTTTACTCAAAAGACGTGAAGATAAGTGATTTTAGCACACCTTGAACATCCTGTGCATAAAATTGGGAAGGGGAAAGAGAAGTGGTTAAAAAAAGGATTTGTCATTTTAAGTTACCAATGAAAATGCAATGTGTGCGTTCCTCTGTAGGTGGTTGGAGGAAATGGTGCTGAGCAGACTGTAGTAAGTGGATCGATGGAAGTGCTGCGTCCCTGTTGGGCAATTGCAACATCAGGCGTGCCAGTTCGAGAACAGCTTTTTAATGCTTCTATCTGTCATCACGCTCCTTTTAACTTATTCCAACATGGAGAATTTTCCAGAAGCTTTGGTCGACAGACAGATGTGAATTCCTTGGAGGTTGCAGCACCCATTTTCATCCGAAGAAATGGCGGTCTTAGGCATCGTGAGGAACACAATGGTGATGTTGTCTTTTTAACAAATCGCGGCGAGGTATGATGTCTGAAACTACTGTAGGTGCAACACACCATTTCTTACTATTTTTGACAAGATCTCCTTTTACAAGTGAAATTTCCAAATACCAATTTCTGACTTGTTACAAATTTTAAATATTTAATTATTATATGGAAGTTGCCGATTATCTTTAAATTATTGGTTGCTGGTTATCATTGAATGGTTGCTGAGAAATGTAGTAAATTTGTTCAGGTGACATCGTACTCTCCTGGATTTAGTGGACATGACGCGGTCTGGAATTGGCAGCTTTTGACAGGCGCTACGTGGTCAAACTTTCCGTCTCCATCTCGGATGACGGAAGCCGTTGTGGTCCCCACCCTGAAGCCGTTCCCATTACGTGTACATGATAATCAAGAACTGATTCTTGTGGCCGGAGATCAAGAAGCCGTTGTGTTATCTCCTGGAGGAAGTCTATTGACATCTGTTGATCTTCCCTCACATCCTACTCACGCCTTAGTGTGTGAGGATTTCTCAAATGATGGGCTCACGGACCTCATTCTCGTGACTTCTAATGGTGTATACGGCTTTGTTCAGACTAGGCAACCGGGTGCCCTATTTTTCAGCACGCTCGTGGGTTGCCTAATAATTGTGATGGGAGTGCTCTTTGTCTCCCAATACTTAAATTCTAACAAGGGGAAGCCTCGAGCATCATCGGCTCAACTTTAACTACTGTGAGTTTTATACCTTTTGTAAGATGCACATGGCAGAGTTTTTAGGTTCGAGAGGCACGAATTACGAAGATCACCTATTATTGAATCTAAATTGATAATGACTGGGGAAGGGAACCTGCACGGGCTCCAGGGTTGCCTAGGCTTGTTTTTATACTGGAACTTGATGAGATTTCAGATTCCTTCTTAACATTATTTCTCCCTCTCATTAGTAGTTTTAGCATGCATTGATTATAAGAGCCTTCATGTGTAATATTCTGAGAGATTTATAGAACAGCATCTGTTTACCTTGAAATCTACTAATAGGTCTTGCATTCTACAGAGGACTGGACTCATTTCTCTCCATTGAATCGAGGATATAGTAATTTTTCTTGAATTTACGGAGAATTTTAGGTAGGCTTAAAAATTCATATACGTAAACGAGTGTAAGTTCGAAGATAAACAAAATATTTTGTTTGTTAAAGTTCGTCAAAACATAATAAGTTTACTGTTAAAATAAATAACTTTTTTTTGGGGGGGGGGGGGGGGNACTGGACTCATTTCTCTCCATTGAATCGAGGATATAGTAATTTTTCTTGAATTTACGGAGAATTTTAGGTAGGCTTAAAAATTCATATACGTAAACGAGTGTAAGTTCGAAGATAAACAAAATATTTTGTTTGTTAAAGTTCGTCAAAACATAATAAGTTTACTGTTAAAATAAATAACTTTTTTTTGGGGGGGGGGGGGGTGGGGGGGTGTTAAGAAAATATAATAGTATATCCAAATATATGTAAAAGAAATAAATTAATTTGGTTATTTTAAGTTTTAACTAACTAATTAATTGATAAGCAATTAAGACAAGACTAAATTCACTTTTGGGGGAAATTTGAATATAAGTATTTAGAATTTTGACTCCACTCAATTATCCACTTTAATTCCTATAATCAAGTTATAAGCCACATTTTCTCGTGTTGACAAGCGTTGTTGCTTCATTATTCGACACTCTCGCTCGAATGGTTGAACAATTATAGAACCTATATGTTCCCAATTTTTGTCTCATTTTAATAGTTTTTTGGACCGTTGCAAATGAAGTGACTTTTTTTTTTTGGTACTTTTTATCTCACAATGGAACCCATGTGCTAGAAAAAAAAGGTCAAAGAATTCATTCTTGTATTCAATTAATGGAAACAGACATGGATATAATGTATTAATTCCTTATTTCTTTAGAGAAATTGCAAATATAAAATAGCGCATTAAACACAACCAAGCATTATTCAACGATCGCATAGATTGTGTAATATATTGCTATTTCCTATCAAAATTTTTGTTACTTGTTAAAAGAGATATATACATTTCACCTCTCCGTCTCAACGTGATTCTCAAACTTATCCTAAAATTGGTTTAGGAAAGCAATTACTCTATAATATATTAAATATCACATCAAATGAGAATTATTTTTTGAACGACTCTAGTCTTTTTATAATTCAATTATTTCAATAATGCTTTACTTTTCATTTTTCAATATGTATTTAATTTATTTAGCCAGTTAGTTACCATCAATATATATGCATATTTAACAAATTCAATTCACATGTGTGCTTTCTTTAATGTATCAATTCCATATTATTAATTTTCAATTTAATATATTCACATTCATTTGATTAATATTTATCTTCATTTATGCATTTTAGTATTATTAATTCTAATTATAAGTTAATTAGAATTTCACATTTAAGAATTCATTTCTTTATTTACGTTCATGTATGTAATTAACATCCAATTTACTTAATTGAAAATCAAATAAATTATTTAATATTCATTGTCGCGTATATATATTCTCTGGCATTAATTCTAAATCAATTAATATTAATGCATATTTAAATATTACTTTTACAATACTTACAAACAATTTCATAATAACGTGCAACACACGTTCAACGTTGACCAGTACAATAAAAAGTAATCAAGCACCAGGCAAATGTTTAGCATCTAAAACAAGATTATAAAAAATGAAGTTTCAAAATAAGTTTGGATCATCATCCTAGTACATAAAAGTCTTAGTTCATAATGAAGGAGTAACAGGGTGTAGAAGAGTTTAAAAAGTACATTACAAATTTAGAATATCTAAAGATAATATGAAAGAAAACTCTTGAAACTCATCATGCGAAGGAAATCTAAATATATTCACATTACAATTTTAAATAACTAAACCATATTTTAATTGTATGAAAGGTTCATAACCTTTATCACATTTATATCTCAAACTTTTTTCATCTCATCATTACTTTCAAATTAACATAAATTATTTTTTATTATGATTTCTCTTCAAAATTTTCATTAAAATAGAGTAAAAAGACTTATTTGTCCATTGCATTTTGTAAATAATAATAATAATAATAAGAAGAAGAAGAAGAAGAAGAAGAAGAACAATGTGATAAATAAAAAAAAAGTTAAAACATATAAATGGGATAATGAATCAAGGTTAATGACTTTCAATGCAATTAAAATGTAGTGTATTTATTTTAAAAAAATGTGACGAGAATATAATTAATCTCATTCTTTTATGGATTAATGAAAACATTCTTGGCTAAACTTTAAAGTTACTTAAACTTGATATTAAGTAGCATTTAGAACTTGTTTGGAAGGAATTTTAATTCAATTAAAATTGAAAATATAGCTGTTATTGGGTCTTACTCGTCTAACAAAAGTCAACAATAATAGCTAATTTTTCAATTTTAATCCGATTTTAATCTCTACCGAACACGCTCTTAAACGAATAAAAAGTTTCTTATTTTGTTAGTAAATTAGAAGTTACAAAAAAAGTAATTTATTTAACTTAAAACTAGAGGCAATAATAGCTAATTTTTCAATTTTAATCAGATTTTAATCTCTACCAAACAAGCTCTTAAACGAATAAAAAGTTTCTTATTTTGTTAGTAAATTAGAAGTTACAAAAAAAGTAATTTATTTAACTTAAAACTAGAGGCAACACAAGTAAATTTGAGGCCTTGGACTATGGTTTTGACGAAGTGGGATCATATCATGCCTGGCAAGAAAAGCTATTGATACACTCACTCAATGGAGCTTGAATTTTCCGGCGATCTATCTATTCATAATACATACCTTTTCCCAAATATATTTGTATTCGATGAGCGAGTAATTTATTGAATCGGTTTCTATCTTTTTCTTCGCATGTTATGCCCTTGTTTGATTTCCACTTTTCTTTATCTTCTTTTCAATCACACATTTTTCTATAAAATAATATTACACGTAAATTCAAAATTTTTCTTTATTTTTTAACCACACATTATCTACCAATCTATTATTCCAAATTGCATTATAAACCTTTTAATGAGGCTCAAATAGGCTCGTAATTGAAAGAAGTACTTTGAGATTTAAAACTGTAAATATGAGATTTGTAGTCAAGCCCTGGTAGAAAACTATATATAGGAGTGGGGATTTATTCATTTTCAAGGTTATCGAATTCCCTCGGAAGCAGGTTGCTCGATTAAGAAAGGTGGTTTTTCTTTATATTGCATTTCTAATTACATTTTGTATTAGTAAAATAGTTAAAGAGACCTTATAAATGATTCTCTTACCTTAGGGGTAGGGCCGGCCTGTAATTTTGAATGCCCTGTGTGACATTTTAAAATGATGTCCCTTTTATGAAATTATAAAAAAATATTAAGAAAAATATATATTTCAATAATGTTATATCATCGCAAAACTATGATATTTAAATACTGTAAATGTTGTGAATAAGAAAAGTCCAAATAAAGTTCAAAAGCACATCTCAAACTTCATCAAAATTTATGTTATCAACAAAAAACCATCCAAGCCCCTAAACTTTTCGTGCAATTCCATATGAGAAAATCTTAAAATCAGAAACATCAAATACTACGTGTAAACTTTTGAAATGCAACAAATCATATAAAAATATTTATTCTTGCATTTCTAGAAGCAGGTTCACTAATTAAACTTTCGTTTCTAACAAATCTTGTTCAATAGATATCAAAATTAGGCCATTCAATCATTCTTATAACATGGTTGATTGTAAATAATTTCAATAACTTCAATTTTAAAAAAATTCTTTTGAGCGATGCAGCAGTAACATTAATTGTTAGTAATACTCTATAAGTAATAAATGTATTCGAAAAGCGATCCAATCTTTTCAAATAAGTCAAAAGCTGACTTTGTTTCTTTTGGTAAAAGATTTTGCAAAATTTTTAACTTTTGAAGCAAAACTTTGCCATCAAAATTGTAAAAATTTACATGTTTTGAAACAATGTCAAGATGATCACAACATACTTTGAAATTAGTATCATCCTATACGTTTAACTTGTCAAAAGAAAATAGAAATTAATTTTTTTTTCCATATGAATTGAATTGATCAAACTTTCGTTAAAGTGATCTAATTGCTTGATCTAACATATAAAGGAAATAATTGGTTATGAAATAATTTTCAAGTGATTGTGCGTCCCCTATAGTGACATTTTCATCAAAATGTTTCTTTCTATAAATTATATTTTTTCATCTTTTCCCTTTTCCTTGATATTAATTAAAGCGGGATATTATTTAAGAAAATTATGACAAGTCAATTATGCTATTCTTAGCTTTAGTATATTATGCAATTGCATATCATACCAAGTCAAATGCCTACAATTAATAAAGAAATAATTCATAAATGAAAATAGTGAAGTACAACTCACTGAGATTAGCTATGAGGAGCCTAAACCATCTGAATCATTTCCATTACTTTAATAAAAATATCTTGATATGATATGTAATTACAAATAAAAAATATAACAATGTTAAATAAAAATATCATTTGTCTATCTTTTAACTTTTTTTTTTCACATACATTGTGCCTTTTTAACTTAACATAATAATTAAAATTTTAAAATTAATAAATATTTTAAATATATAATTATACATATATATATATACACAAATAACAAGTTTTTTTTTTTGTGTCCCTACAATGATGAGCTACTGTACGATCGCTCAATTCGCTCG